CCACGGATTCCACCCATCAGAATTTTCCCTCCTCAGATAACGTCGTTTACCCCCAACACCAGAGGGTACTCCCGGGGCCGATGCTGGGGCCGACTCCCAGTTCGTCTCAGCGCTTCCCCCCAGGGTTCCTACGGCTCCCCTCGACACCAGATGCCAACCCTTCGAAGGGTGACATGTCTTCCATGCTCAGTATGATGTCTTCCTTAAATGGCTTTGGTTACTCCTCAGCCAGTGACGCTTCCGCGTCAGCCAACTAATGGTGTTACACCTCAGTCCCTATCACGAAGACTTATTTCTACTCTAACTGAACCCAAGGTAAGTAATATGATTACAATATTTTTGTTCACATATGTACGCACATGTTTATATCTATATCTATTTATATCTATCTATCTATCTATATCTATCTATCTATCTATCTATCTATCTATCTATCTATCTATCTATCTATCTATATATATATATATATATATATATATATATATATATATATATATATATATATATATATATATATATATATATATATATGTGTGTGTGTGTGACTACATATATATATATATATATATATATATATATATATATATATATATATATATATATATATGTATGTATGTATGTATGTATGTATTATATATCTATATGTATATATATATATATATATATATATATATATATATATATATATATATATATATGCTTGGATTTGTGTATGTGTATACCTATATGGATGGAAAACAGTCTGCCGTGCTGATACAATGGTAAAAAAAAGCAGTTTCGGAATCCTCGATTCACGAAGATGGAATCGAAGAGAAGTCCGAACTGTTGTTTCACTTTTTTTGATAAATCTAGTATGTGCATTGTGTTTTTTTTTTTTTCTACCACATATGTATTATATATATACAGTTATATATCTATATCTATCTATTAATATATATATAAATATATATGTGTGTGTGTGTGGTTGTAGTATATATATATATATATATATATATATATATATATATATATATATATATATAGACAGATACATATATAACATGTACATAAATATATACATTTACATATGATTGATGTATATATATATATATATATATATATATATATATAATATATATATATATATATGTGTGTGTGTGTGTGTGTGTGTGTGTGTGTGTGTGGTGTGTGTGTGTGTGTGTGTGTGTGTGTGTGTGTCTATATACATTTCAACCACATAAACTTCAAATATAATATATATATATATATATATATATATATATATATATATATATATATATATATATATATATACTGTATTTACTTTAACCAACTATATAATAATTGAGATATAAAATTTTCTGCATTTATTTATATATATATATATTTTTTTTTTTTGTACAGAATTCAGCTAACGATGATGATTTTGAACTGGATACCGTTGTCACAACATAGATGGTGAATTCAGAATATCTGCAAAGTAGAAAATGAAAAAAATAATTATAATAAGCTGTATGTATAAATAATAAAGTATTTTATTAACCTGCATCACATATCTCAGAGACAATAAACACATGTAATCATTCATGTTTACGTAGATATACACATAGGTTTAGTTTATAACTATAATGTATCCGTATGTTACAAAATTACTTTGCTATTTCCCAAGGAAGTAAATAGGAGTCTCTTAGTTTTTTTTTAATTTCAGTTTTAAATAGAAGGTATTTGAATCCCAAAGAATCTACTAAGATACGATTTGCAAATATATTCGAGATTTTCATAACTAAAGTATATTCGTCAATTTGCACTGATGATAATGATAATAATTATAACAGTAATCACAATAATACTGATATCAGTGATAATAATGATGATAATAATGATAATGATACTGATATAAATTGTGATAGTGATAAAAATGATAATAATGATGACGATAATGATGTTGCTGATAATGATAGTAATGACAACAATAATGATAATGATGGAAAGAGTAGCGATAATATCAATAGCTTTAGTAATACATATAGTAAAAAAGATGCAACTACAAACCCAATTATCTGTCAAGGTTGAATATGCGAACGCATTTTCAGTGACAGATTCGACTAGAGAAATGACGTTATGACAAGACAGATCCACTGCAATGCGTCCTTTCCTTGTGATAAAAGAATAAGACGAGGTAATCCTTAATATCTATTGTGATAAGGTTGACTAGACGTTCAGAAGCTATGATTAAGGTCTGGCCAGTTCTTGCCTCTGAGTTGTCACTGTTTGCAAATTCTTTTTCCACAGTTGATTGGGTATTGGCGATTCTTTTCTTTCTGGGCGTGCTTGCGGATTGGTACATCAGCTTTTTTGAAGAACTTCTGGTATCTCAACCCATTGCTCAATAGTCTCAATAACCATGAGGATTTCGAGAAAGTGGGAGAGCAGATTGACGGAGACTGAAAAGAAGGATATATGTTGCCAATCTTAAACCAACTATATAACAACTGAGATATAAAATGTTCTACAGAATTCAAATTGCGATGATGATTTTGAACTGGATACCGTTGTATATATATAAGTATATATACTTCAACCATATATATTTACTTTTATATATAAATTTATATATGTGTGTGTGTGTGCATATATGTATGTATTTATATATATATATATATATATAATATATATATATATATATTGATATATATATATATATTGATATATACTTCAACCATATATATATATGTATATCTACATATATACTGTATATATATTTGTGTGTGTGTACATAACTGTACACACACGTACACACACACACACACACACACACGCGCGGCGCGCGCGCGCGCGCTTGTTTTAGATATCCATATTAATAGATAAATATACATATATGACTGTATATATATATATATATATACATATATATATGGTAGAAAAAAAAAAACACAATGCACAAACCAGATTTATCAAAAGAAGTGACAACAGAATTCTCTTCGATTCCATCTTCGTTAATCGAGGATTCCGAATCTGCTGTGGGTTTTTCTACCATAGTATCAACACGGCAGTGTTTTCCACCTATATATGTATACACACACATACACGCATATATATATGTATATATATATATATATATATATATATATATATATATATATATATATATATATATATATATATATATATATATACTTCAAGCATATGCAGTTATATAATATATATATATATATATATATATATATATATATATATATATATATATATATATATATATATATATATATATATATATATATGTATATATATATATATTATATATATATATATATATATATATATATATGTATATATATATATATATATATATATATATATATATATGTGTGTGTGTGTGGTGTGTGTGTGTGTGTGTGTGTGTGTGTGTGTGTGTGTGTGTGTGTGTGTATATATATATATTATATATATATATATATATATATATATATATATGCAGACATACACATGTAGGTACGTATGTGAACAAAAATATCGTAATCATATTACTTACCTTGGGTTCAGTTAGAATATAAATAATGCTGAGAGGTGTAATGCCATTAGTGGGTTGACGTGGAAGAGTCACTGGCTGAGGAGTAACCAAAGCCATTTAAGGAAGACAACATACTGAGCATGGCAGATATGTCACCCTTCGAAGGATCGGTATCTGGTGTCGAGGGGTAGCCGAAGGAACCCTGGGGAGGAAACGCTGAGGGGTAGCCGAAGGAACCCTGGGGGGGATACCGGTGGAGTCCCTGATGGCTGAGAATAGGCTGGTGGCTGTGACAGAAGCATGGTTGGTGGGAGCATTGATGGATAAAATGGAAGCATAGGGGGGTGAAGAGGCACTGCTGGTGGATGAAGAGAATACATGGGGAGATGAACAAGCAGCAATGGTGGATGAAGAGAGTACATGGACGAATAGGCAGCACTGGTGGCTGGAAAGCGTACAGAGGGGAAGGTACAGGCAGTATTGGTGGATTAGGTAGGACCATAGGGAGGTGAACAGGAAGCAATAGTGGACGGGGAGCAAGTATCGCTGGTGGTGGGTGGTACATCACTAGAAGAATCACGGGTTGACGGCACATGGATGGGATAATGGAACATTACAAACTCGGAGCCACTAGATGTACCACAGGGACATGATCTCCAAGCAAGCCAGGCAGGATAGGACTTGGGACACTATAAGAAAGAATCTGGGGACTGGGTGCCGGTTTGGCCTCGGTGTCGACCAGGATCCCTAGGACCAGCGCCACAACGAGCTGCAAAGTGACGAGACTAGAGTAACAAAGTGTCATGTCTTTTCGTGGTTTTGGGGTTAGTGTTTTCTGCATTTTGGATCATAATATGTATAAGCAAAATCGCAACAAGAAGACGCTAACTTTCATCCATAAGAAATATATATTTGAACATAAAATTATCGACCACAAAAAAAGTCATAGATTAGTTATACATAGTCATGGAAATGGTTCTTGAATCGCTTTATTATAGTTCTTGGCGTGGGCATTCATATTCATCTTTCTTACCATTCTCAAAGCCATCTTGGGTATTGATTCTGAGCCAAGAAGAAGGGAAAAGAAAATGTGGCTGCCTTTCCTCACCATCGAAAAACAAAGATAAATTAAAATCTGACCAGTGAAAAACAAAGATTAATTAAAATCTGACAAGTGTTTAGAGTTAAGACGTTGGACGATCATATTGTAGATCATTTTTTAATAATGTTTGGATTTGTTTCCCCAGTTCCTAAGCAGAGATAATTGTATTGTGATTTTGATCAGAGGCACATGATTGATGTTGTCAGTCTCTCTCTTCCTGTATGGTTAATTGCCTGAAAGGCGTAACATCAACTATATTGCGTAATATGGTTGTTACTCTTTGAGAACTTTCATTTAAAAAGTCACTCCAAAGACATCAAGCTTGTACTCTCTTTCACTCTCACTCTCTACCTCCTCTCTCTCTCTCTCTCTTCTCTTTCTCTCTCTCTCTCTCTCTCTCTCTCTCTCTCTCTCTCGCTCTCGCTCTCCCCCCCCCCCCCCTCTCTCTCTTTTTCTCTCTCCTGTCCCTGTTTTTGTGACTAGATATTACTCGCAGGAAACTACGCATAGTCAGCAAGGGCTTATCAGTATAGATAGAAGCCAGAAAGGAAATCTTTGCCTTCACTAAACTAAAGAGCATATGTGCCTCTTT